CAATATTTATACATAAATATGTAGATATATAAATACAAATGTAATGTTAACCCTCAAAGTTCAAACACACCTCTGGGATACGGTAACCTAATCTTTTTTTTTTTGTTTTACGGCAGGAAGTGGAAATGGCTCGGACCATCGTCCTTCCAGGCCGGCCTGGAAGGGTATGTAGGACTTGCACCCACTAAAACCACTCCCTCGAGGACCACAAACGGGTCGGCGTCGAGAGCCAGGAACTGCCTAAGCATACTCTGGCCCTCGACAACCCTCGCGACATGCGCCCGAATTGAATCTAAACTCAAAGTATTTGCATACGAGTGGCAAAGCCTAATTATATTATCCACGCTACACTACGCTATAGTGCGCGCGAGAATCCCATGCCCTCGGTATACTATCCAGCATCCGAGGAGATAGGTATCTCGGCCTGAAAACTAAGGTAACTAAGTCGCCCCCCCAGCTCAGACCCCCTCGAAACGCGGGTGACGTTCGGGCATGGATAGCGCCCAGCTGCCCGCCGGATGTGCGCGCGAAATGCGGGGTTCGCCCGACCATCCTACCAGGGCCCCCAGCGCATCCACCCCGACAACATCACTCCCATGGCCGGCTGTCTAACACAAGGAACCGCCGACCCGCTCCTCCAACCGACTTCTCGTAATTTCCGAGAAGTCCGCCTCCTCTCACGCCACGCGCCCGTCCCCCGCGCGCGGCCCTCTCAAGAACCGACCGTCGCTAGTCGCGGTCGGATCTTTCCTATAACTCCAATGTCCGGGATGTGGGCACGGCCGTCCGGCCCCCCGGGTATGGGACAATGTCCGCCCGGGGGGCCGGAGGGCCGCCGCCCCTCCCATTGGCATATATATTTATAATTTCAATCCCCTGGTCCAGTTGTCACCCGATATCCGGGTGATCATCCGAGTCAACATCTCTGACGTTCCCGTTGTCGGCGTTTCCCTCCTCCATTGCTTGGCGCCGACGCTCCGCCTCCTCCTTCGCCACCATCACTCTCTCCGCGAACAGGGAGAAAGCGGCCCAGTTCTCTCGACTGTGGACCATCCGGTCTACTATCCCGGTTAGTGTCAAGTCCATTCCTATCACCGCCGTCAACTCGTCCCGCTCGTCTTGCCAAGCCGGGCACTCCGCGATTGTGTGCTCCGCCGAGTCGATGCTCCCGCCGTCCTCGGTCCCGCAGTGCGGGCAGACCGCTGTGTGCGCCTTGCCAATCCTCCTCAAAAACGTGCCAAAGCACCCGTGTCCGGTAAGTAACTGTGTAATTCTGTAGGTCATTCATCCGTGGGTTCTGCTCATCCAACGATCCAGGGAGGGAAGAATGGCCGTCCTTGTCCTGGCTCCCGCCACGTTGAACTGCTCTAAGTGAGCCTCCCATTCCGTCCTTGTCTGGATGGCGTTTGCGACCCTAAAGTCGTTTACGGCCGCTACCGACCATGTTCCCGCCGCGCGCATATCTCTGATAGCTTTATAATATCTGTCCCTTTCCCTAATCAGGATGTCCATCGGTGGAACTCGCGCCAACAGAGTCGCCGCGTCCAGGGACACCGTTCTGTACGCGGCCACCACCCGCAGCGCTATTGACCTCTGAGCTCTCCTAAGGATAGGTTGGAGGTTTTTATTTTTCAGGTATGAGTCCCCCCAGACCGGCGATGCGTACAGCAAAATAGACAGAATGACGTTATAATACAGCTTCCTCTTGGGTTCGCTGGGGCCCCTCAAATTAGGCATTATTCTATGTAACGCTCTACTAACTCTAAGAGCCTTGTCGGCTGCGTAATTGAGATGAGTTTTAAAGTACCATGTAGTATCGATCATTACTCCTAGATACTTCAAGCCATCGCCCACTCTAACCATACTACCCCCGATATTTACGTTGTTTGTACGCGTTTTTGGGAATGTAATTATTTCCGTCTTCTCCGCCGCTAGTGAGAGGCCCATTGTGTCAAGGCGTTCCTTAATAAGTCTCACCGCGTCCTCGGCTCCAAAACACAGCTCATGTGGATCATCTCCCTCCGCCACTACCATTGTGTCGTCCGCGAATCCAAAGGTTTTATATTCTGGTGGAAGTCTTTGCTTAAGGATCAGGTCGTATGTCAGGTTCCACAATATTGGCCCCAGTATTGAACCTTGCGGTACTCCAGCTTCGACAGCTCTTTGGGCCGTGCTACCCTGGTTGTCTGTGTAGGTGATGCTTCTGTCCGAAAGGTATGCGCGGATAATCCTACGTATATATTTCGGTATTTTCTTTCTCTTTAACATGTCTTTTATAGCTTTCCATAGTACGGAATTAAAAGCATTTTTGATATCCAACGATACTGCCATCACCTTTTTACCCCGTCTGTTGGCTGCCTGGATGGTCTCCTTTACCGCCAGGATAGCGTCCGTTGTAGACCTGGCTTTGCGAAATCCGAATTGATTCTCCGAGTAGTTCGCATAACCTTTATCCCGAATGAACTCTTGTATTCTATCCGCAATGATTTTCTCAAAGAGCTTTGACGCGTCATCCAATAGGCATATTGGTCTTGCTTTAATTTGCCTGCCTACCTCTGGTTCTCCTTTCGGGATAAGCACTAAATTGGCTCTTTTCCATGGTTTAGGAAATGCGCCGTTCTTGAGGCAAGCCGTGAAGCACTCCGCCATCTTGGCGATAAGGCACGCTGGTGCTTTTTTCCAGAATTTTATGGAAATTCCATCCGGGCCAGGCGCAGTATTTGTCCTCTTTCTGCTCTTAATTGCATTGAGTACCTCGAGTGGGGTGACTGCCATGTCTTCCTCCCACCTATACCCAAGGGCGTGCCAATCTAATTTCCGGGGCGCTCTCGCCCTGGGGAACAACGTGTCCATCAAGGCGTCCATCTCTCCATGGTCCATTTTCTCAGCTAGGCTTGTGTCCGCCCTTCTAAGCTTATTCAATACTAACTTATACGGTAGTCCCCATGGGTCCTTTTCCACCTCGTTCACCAAGTTCGCCCAGGCCTGATTTTTAGCTTTATTTATCTCTTGTCTAAGCCTGTTTCTGGTATTCCGGTAAGTCACGGCAAGCTCCCTCTCGTTCGGTTCGTCTCTTCTTCTTTTGGCTCTCGTCCAGTTTCTTCTTGCCCTTATGCATTCCGTTCTTAGCTCCTCGATCTCACTGCTCCACCAGTGTACGTACCGTTTTTTTATCCTTTTGGGTATTCTAGGGGCAGCCGCTTCGCACGCCTCGGTCATGACTCTGCGTAGCCATAATGCCGGGCCATCGTCTGATTCTAGGTCCTCTCCGGTCGGTCCTATTGAGCAGCTCCATTCTAGTGACTTTTCGAAGAATTCCTGGTCAAGTTTGTCACAATTCCACCGTACCCTCGATTTTGTCTCCCGCGGTGGGTTGTTATCCCGCGACGCTACCTCGTACGTAATGTACATATGGTCCGAGAGTGTTTCGACCTCCTTAAGGACCTTCCAATTCAAAATTTTGCCTGCGATATCCGGCGTAGACCAAGTTAGATCCACTATCGAGGAGCCTGTGTGTCTGACGCACGTAGGCTCTTTTCCTTTATTACTAAGACACAGATTTAGCTCTGCGGCCCAATCCGCCAACGCTCGTCCTCTTCTATTCGTCCTTGTCGCTCCCCACAGCACCGAGTGTGCGTTGAAGTCGCCTCCTATGATTAGTGGTGTTCGGTAGTTGCCGATTGCATTTTGAATTTTATACAGTACGTCGTTAAAATAATTAAAGTCTATATTCGGAGATATATACACCGACGCGATTAAAAGATTTCCGGTTTTAACTAAAATAAAATTATTGTCTCTAGTTATTAGGTTAAAACTTATCCCACTGTAGCAGTGTATAGCTGCCATTCCATTGGCGCTAGTGACGCAGTCTCCCTTATTCACGTTTGCCGGTGGTTCGGAAACGATCGATACATCAACGCTCTCTTCTCGTGCATGCTGTTTCAGTAAATCTAGAGCGTTCCAACTATGATTTAAGTTGCACTGTATGAATTTAATTTTAGGCGCCATTTCTAGATCCCAGCCGTGCAACTCCTCGCTCGCCTCTCCCGTATTTACATGCCGGTGTCGCGAACCTATTATTAGACTCGCACCCGTCATCTTTGCAAACCGGGCAATTTGCCTCATTTCCACACTGTCTTGCCGGGTGTCCATTCTGTCCGCACTTGAAGCAGGCCCCAGTTCTATCTATTTTTCCATCACATTTTGCCCTCATGTGGCCAAAGTGCCAGCAACGATAGCATTGTATTGGGCGTTTCTCTAATAGCACTACCCTTACCGAGGACCATCCTATTCTTATTTTGCCGCTTGATGAGAGAGGTGCCGCCACCGCCAGTGGGCATTGGACCCATATTGTCCCAAGTCCGTTTCTCATGGGTCTGATTTGCCCGACTTTAACTTCATCTTTTCGACATGATCCCATTTCTGCTATCACATCCATGACTTCCTCCGGCGTTACGGAGTCGTCCAGTCCTATCAGTAGCATTTCGCCTTTTATTGTAGGCCTACCAATAATTACATCCTCCAGGACTTCCTTTAATTTATCGGCCAATGCGTCGGCTTTGGAGGAGCCTTCCGGCCCCGGTATCTCGATCAGGACCCCTCCATTTGCCGATTTCCTAATTCGAGATCTCTCTATCCCCATAGTGGCCAGGGCTATGCCACTTCTGGCTTTCTTCAGAGCTTCCGCATACGAGAAACCCTCGCCCTTCCCTGTGATGGAAACCGCAGCCGTTCTCGGTGGTCTACGTCTTCCTTTCCTGTCGTTATTCGTGTCTTCCTTCGTATCTCGTCCTCTAGTCTTATCCGTTCCTGGTGTTTTCCTCCTGTGACTACGTTCCACCGGCTTCCAGTCACCATCCTCGTGTCTTTGTTCACTTCTAGGTGGCGCTACTTGTACGTCCGAGATAATTCTTGGTTTGTCCCTCCCGGCTGTGTTGTTGGCCCTTCTGTTTTTCCCTTTAGGATCCTTGCTTTTACCCGACACTGTTTTAAGTTGGTTCCTTTGTCCTACCAGCTTCTTGATTTCTTTATTAATGTCGTTCAATTGGCTTCTTCTTTCGTCCATTTCTTCCTCCGGGTCCGTTGTCACACTGGTGGCCTCTTCCCGTTCGTAGTCATCATTGCCGCCAGCCCGCGAGCTCATGCTGTCAACCGATGCAATTCTCACTTGTTTCCTCCTGAGGTGTTGTCTCCAGGTTGTCGCCTCTGTTGCCGCGTCTGTTCCCGTCTCTGAGGCTTGCATAATCTGCCTGCTCATTTGATTTTTGAGCCCTTTGAGCTCCATTTTTAGCTCACGAACCTCCCTTTCCAGCGCAGCCACCTCTTGCTTTCTTATTTCCTCATTTCTTTTAAGGCTAGCCACTTGGGCCGCGAGCTCGACGTTCCTCATCTCGAGGTATTTGGTATCTCCCTGTGTCCTCGCTCTCTTAACCAGCGCCTGTATGGCTTTTCCCGCGTTGGCTAGAGAGTCTCTCATTTGACCTCTTATTGGTCCCTGTATATTTTTGGATACATTTTTTAACCTTTCCGCTCGGTTTATATTCTCGCAGCCGACGCTGCCTAGTCTCGTAACGTCCATGCTATCCCATTCCTCGTCCTTTATGACTATTACCTTCGTTTGGGCCTGACTGGATTTTGCTGTTTTGCCAGTAGTCTTCTCCACATTTTCCAACTCCTCGGAAGAAGCGTACGTATCTTTTGGGTCCTCCGAGTCATCCGACGTCGATATTTTCCTCTTCGTTCTTGTTCTTCTCCTTTTTGAGGACTTCTTTTTCCGTTCATCTCCCTCCGTCAGTGGGGAGTCCTTCTTCCTTTTTGCCGTTCTTTGGTTACTGGCGGCATCACTTGCTGTAAATACGGTGCTTGAATCCGAGATGACATCCTTATGTGGCGCTCCCACAGTCTCCGCTTCCCCGATCCTGCTCGTTGATGCCCCTATGTTGACCTCCGGTGGTAGCAGGTCGTCACTTGCCGTCAGGTCTATTGGACCATGTGGCTGGCTTCCAGTCTCCTTTATCTCTTCTTCCTTTTGTTTTTTTTGATTTTTGGTTTGTATGTTTTTAAGGTGAAGGTGCATTTTCGTAAATCCCCTACGCGCAGGGCTCCGTCGACCGGGTACACCCTCTCCGAGCCACGACCAGACCGCGAAACGTGACCACGGCCCGGCCGCAGCCCGGGCCCCAAGTACCCAAGGGGGGTCGACATACGTCACTGGGCGGGGGGAATACCGCACCCCGCCACAGGACCCCAGCCCCTTACTTGTCCCCCCACTACAGGAAGATTTTCGGAGGTTCCGTGGCTCCGACCCCACGGATACCGCTGCGCGCGTTGCCAAACCGGGGGGCCCCGCGGACGGTTGGGGCGGCAGGAGCGGCCCGTCCTTCCATCGCCTTACCCGCCGCGGCGACCAGCGCGTTCTTCATCCGCCGGGGGGTAGTCCTCGCTAGACGTAGGCCGTCGCGTGGGCCTCCCAGCACGGGGCGCAGCAGGGGTCGTCACGCCCTGTAGTTCCCCTCGTCCGAGCGGGCTGCCGAGCCCTGCCTGGGAATACGTCCCAGCGGCCCCGGCAGCCCCCCGCCTCCAACCCGCCGAACCCTGTCCCGGGACTACTTCCCGGCGGCTCCGACGGGTCCCAGGCCACCGAGCCCCGCCTCGGAAACGTCCGAGCGGCCCCGGTAGACCCGTCTCTATCCCCTACGTCAAGCACGGCAGGGCCCTATCCTCGAAGGCGTTCGAGCGGCCCCCATCGTCTTGTCCACCATAACTGTGCCCCTGGCTTCCGCCTCGAGATGTCCAGACGGTCCTTTTGACACTTTTATACCGTGAACGGATCCCCCCGTGCCAGGACGCGACTCCTTAAAAGGACACCGTCCCCAGACACAGGGCCACAATCCGCCCCCAGTAAGATAAGATTCCGCAATTTATACAAAATATATACAAGTATACCTAAATATTTCTGAGTGTATCGCATCTATTTACAGGTTCAGACGATTCAGCACCATGAACTTCCTACTTCAGTGCACATAGAGACATCTTCATTTGCGCATCGTCTATATATATCAGGCTACGCTCCTCTACTATGTACATTCGGCAGTAGCGCTTACCGACACTCCGACCTCGAAACAACGGACCTCAATAAGAGGAATGCTCAATTACGTAAAGGGTCAGTCATCAACAATCCAGGGCTTGCAGCAGCCAGTCAAACGAAATATCGAACAACTTATTAATAACCGAAATAAAATAACAGTAAAATAAGGTTCCGCAATTTATACAAAATATATACAAATATGCCTAAATAAATCTAAGTATATCGCATCTGTTTATCTATTTATAGGCCCAGACGCAGACTTCCGCTCAAATCGCGTCCATAACGCGCCCTCTAAGTGCAATATACAGTTCTCAATCCGTATACGCGTTATTGATACAAAGCGTCCCTCTTAAATTCCGCATCTCTGTATGATACGCGCGCAGGCCTATGACGCATCCCAAAATACTTCGCAACGCTCTAGATGGCGGATAAGTCCGCCTCATTACACGGAGTCACTGGCCGAAAAAGAACAGACCGCAGCACAAGACTCAGATGATCAAATCGATCACTCGTCCCTATAAACTAAGTCAAGCCTATCGTCCGACAAGAGAAGCACTTCTATGTAATGCGGGCCCGGGCCTGTTGCTACGTGACAAATCTACACGACGGATGCGTCCGTCGAACCACTCATTGCATTCTTATAGCATAATTATCGCTCGGTTATAAACCGCTATTCCGCATATCAACGTTGACGCAGCTCGTCGCCATAGGTCGCTCTCCGTCGGGGCGACACTACGAACGAACAGACTCGACCGGGATCGGTCGTCCGTGCAACGAAATGAATCTCTTTGAAAAAATTCCTCCCACTCACGCGGGAGTCCGGCACGCCACACGCGCCAACGGCCGAAACGACCCACCGCGAGAGTCTCACGTCTACATATTTCACGCGAAAGACTAATACGTATTCTAGAATACCTCACGGCGCCCCGCACGACGGATAATACCGCCCCTCGCATTTACACTTATGATTGGGCCTGCCCTTTTAAGATGCGACCGAGCCGGAGCTCCCCGGACCAGCAATAACGGGTCGAACCACGTGACGAGTCACTGGTTACAAGACCCGTACCACGGCCGTGAGGGAGGCACGCGACCAGCACATCATGTCAAAAAGCGTCAAGGTTAGATAAAGCCTTGACACTACCACTATACTACCCCATTGGAAGCTCTCGAGTTGACCACCGGGCCGTCCAGCCCACTTATATAGCCCGGCGGCTAAATTCTAAACACGAGAAACCCGCAAGAGGTGATACGCCGCCTATCGGCTTTTCCCCGAACCTCATAGCCAGAGTGTCTCGTATTAGGGGACGCGGGCGCGTCGTCCGCGCCTTTACATCTCGGCTCATAGAGGATCCGAAAGTTACCGTCTCTATGTCTCGCGGGAGTCCGGGACGCCGGGCGCGCCGCCGACCGAAACAACCCGCTGCATGTTCGCGTAATACGCACGCAGTCCATAACGCATCTCACTCGGCACGTCCATTTGTATGTGTCTAACCTATCGCGTAGCTCGCAGCACTTCACGGCAATCCACACGACGGATGTGCATAAGATAATCGAACCGATTGTCCGTCACCATGAGCTACCTCAGTATTTAATTTGACGGGGGGTTGTCGTAAAGCTACTTTATTTCTTAACCTCAACCTGTCGCGAACGCACCGACACCGTACATCCCACGACACGCGAAGCTACCTCGACCACGTAACCTCAAACCTCAAACCACCGCGGGCGCACTGTCACCACATAACCCACAAAGCAGCAAAACGACGCGAGAGGCATACAGAGCACGACCTCCAACTCCGCTACTGCTAGCCTGAAGCTACACCGCTTTATAGTCTCGGTGCTCGAAGCCCGGGCCGAAAAGACACAAGGGCATAGCTCTATCGCAGCCAAGCACTATTCCCGTCAGTAAATGCACGCGACTCTAACCCCAAAAGCGAATCGGGCTTACTCCGGCATCCGGAAACTCCACCTTTTCACAAGGAGCTCCGAGCTCGCCTCTCGAGTCGCGACGCGCCTAACCTCATGCCGTCAGACCGTCACGAACACCCATACGCGGAATGAACTGCCCCCCGCACTCGTAACGCCCACGCACTTTCCTGAAAGAAAGAGGGCAGGAAACACACAATAAAATACAATACATACAAGGTGTTCCTTCACTGTTATAAGACGAGGCAGGGCCGCAATTTATTTCCCGTGCGTGCCTTGAAAAAGGCAAGCGCACACGTCTATCTGTAACATACAAGTTTAATGACGGGCATGCAACCTTACCTTGTGCCCGTCACTAATTACGACACAAAATATTATACAGTATATATACAATATGTACAGTCACTCTAAATCACGCGAGCATACCCCGCGAGCCAACCGAGCAGAAAACCGCGCGACTCCCTCGATATCTCGTGCGCGCGATCGCCACTCAGAACACACGGTATTCAGATCGTATATCCTTGTACAGGATCAGTATTCAGTTCAGAATCCAAGTCCGAAGTGACGTGGCAGGCGCGTATTAAGCGCCGCGCAACAACGTCCAGCCGAAACACCGCGCAACGCGCGCGCCACCTCAGAGCGCCACTCGCGCAAAAGCACCAGCCAATCGCGAGCGTCTTCCCGATCGCGAGCGCCACCGCGACCACGAGCGCCCCCGCGATCACCAAGAGCACGGCGCGCACTAATCCCGCCGACGGGAACGATGTCTACGTTCCCCGAGTCTCGAGCGAAGTAATCATCCGGAATACGAACGCGCCCGGGCGCACGTCGTCACATGTAAACCAGCCCTAACGGCTCGCAGCATATGATCGCGCCCGGTAACCTCTCGAGACGTATACGACACTTAAAATCACAACCGACATGCACGACACGAAGCACTCGACGGCGACAAAAGTCGACGCCCGCCCCTCGCCCCGCGCACCATCACACACGCGGCAAAGTCCCGCACGCCACAAGGCCACGGCGAGCACAACGGCCACGATCCGCGCGTCCACCGGGCAACGCCCGCATCCGCGCGACCGCGCCCGAGCACCCCGCGCACGGAGAGGCCGACACCGGCCTCCAGCACACTCGTTGAGCCCCGGCACGAGGCCCCCCGCAGCTCCAAGGCACGAATCCGACGCGCCACTTGCGACACTTACTGCGGCTCAAGGCGACTCCGCCGATCGCCGCCGCCAATGTCCCGGCACGAGCACGACTCGCGGAACACCCCCCTGCACCCGCGGCCCCGCGGAGGACCGCACACCTCCCGTAGCAGACGCCGAACGAGGAGGCGATCCGTCACGTCACGACGCGCACGACAATATGGCGGCTATACTGCCGCCCCCCGCCGCCGCGTCCACGTCACCCCGATGACCACAGGATATTATGCCGCGCAGCGATGCTCGACCCTCCACTGAGACGAGCCACCCCGGAGCCGATGCTCCAGGTAGCCCGGTTCGCGCGCCATCCACGAAAGATACTTAGCCGGGAAATATTCCCGATCCCGACAAGAACCCGATAGATGTTCACCGGAGCGTGCACTGACAAATGTAGTGACCGCAGACTACTCGATTTTTCGAGATGCGGATCACCCCGAGAAAACTAAAGTTAGCCCGAAGTGGATTTGAAGGTCAAATCTAAGTATGTGGTCGTGACCACCACCACCCGCAAATCCACCCCCGACGTTTGAACCCGCGAAAATTCCCCCAATCAGCGCGCAACAAGAAAACGCAACTTAACCCGAAAAAGATTTGAAGGTCGAAACCAAGCACGTGGTTACGACCTCCGTCACTCACGTATCCGCCCCCGACGTTTGAAGTCGTAAAAAACTCCCGTTTAGCGCGCAAAAAACGGCCGAGAGTGCCCACACTATACGTCACGTCACATATATCTACACATAAACGGGCGACCCGCCCACAGACACATGCGCCAGGGCGCAGCACACACACATACACAGCCCCGCCTCGGATCCGCCAGGTCCGGGCGGCCGCGAACGTCCGTCACTTCTCCCGCCGAAACCACGC